ACGACGACGACGACGACGACGACGACGACGACGACGACGACGACGACTACTACTACTACTAGCAAATTGTGTGTTTTTCACCAGGGTGTTTTGACCGATGCCTAACCGATGCCACGGAGTGACTTCCAGACACCCGATCAAGGGAAATGCCCACTCGAGAGCAGATTGAAGGGTTCAAATGACATGCCCAAGAGAAAGGAACTAGCAGCTGCATATGCGAAATACTTGAACTTGTGAAAAAGTTGTTTGCTGTGCGTTGCTTCGCGATGTCCATGACTCTACTTGTGCTTGGAAACATGCTGTATGTTAGTGATATTCATCAAACATTGGAAGCCGATGAGGAAAATCCAAGCCCGATGCCCTGTCCTGATGACCGCACCCAGATGTAGGGAATTTTGGACCGACCTAATGTGTTCTGACCCAGCTCATTTCCGTTTTCCTGCTCCACTTCCGCCGCAGGCCACTGCGCCCAATGGGCCCTACCCACCGAATGGGCCCACGCTCCATGTGCTCGACGGGCCGACCTCGGCGATGCCCGCGGCGATGCCCGCGGCGATGCCAGCGGCGATGCCCGCGGCGATGCCCGCGGCGATGCCCGCGGCGATGCCCGCCGCGATGCCCGCGGCGATGCCCGCCGCGATGCCGGCGGCGGCCTCGATGTCACCGCACTTTCTGATGGCTCCATCCATACCCAAAGCTCCATCCTTCCAATCGCATCAGTGGAACTTGAATGCAAAGGACTTGGGGATTGAGAAAACATGAGAAAACATTTGGGATCTGACACTTAATTATGCGAGCAGTTGAATTGGAGCTAGAGAGTCAGGGAATGTCAGGAATTATGGATCCTCTTCACCTCCCTACATGTAACTTGAGCTTTCCACTAGTTCTGACCTAGTCAGAACTCGTTCTTTCGAAAAACTGTTAAAACTCTTCTGCTCGGTTTTCCCGGTTTGGCCGTTTCTTCCTGTCTCCGGTGACCGGTTCTGAGCTCTTCTGCCAGGACGTCTCCCAAGAGGAGTGGTGGTTGACCATGGCTCCCGTCACGCCTCCGGAGCTACGACACCAAGCCTTGGCGGTGGACGATGTCAGCGAAGATGAGGCCTCACCAGGCGCGGGAGAGATGGAGGTTTTTCGGTGGAGAGTTGGGGAACGGTGGGGGGGAAGTGGTGGAGATCTTTCCGATCTTGAGGTTCATAGGCATTCATAGGATTTGATAGGGGTTTTGTATGATCGTTCAGACATCATGGTTCAGTTTTGTGGGTTTGGCATGATCCTCGCAAAAACCGAGGCTTCCTCCATGTCTTCAGAGCATGCAGAAAATGCCAATATATATAAATATATGTATCCATAATATATGTCTTTTATATGTTTTTCTCCAACTCGTCACACATTGATCGCTCACCAGGATTTCTCAGGTATGCTGGAAGGTTGGGTCGAATTCTCTCGTCCCTCCCTGAATATTTCAGCTACACCGACCCATCCGACCTCATTTGATCCATCAGCAGAAATCTATCAGACGTCAGCATCAACGTTTCAGGTGGGCGCACGCCGCCACTCTCAGAGGTGAACGGAGTGAACGGAGTCGTGTCCAAAAACATGGATAGTGTGCCTGGTTTGCATTTGCGCGAGCGGGGCGAGCTAGATAGGTGGATGAAGCAGGAGATGAGTGTGTGGGGAGGACATATTTTGAAGAGGCATTGTCAATGTCGTGTTGTATGTACTTTTGTGGCTTTCCTACGCTCGCAGCTTGGTGTCCTTGTTGCGAACAGCTTCGGGAGTATCGAAACGTTGGCTCTTTCAACGAACACACACACACACAAAAACCCACACCCGTTCCACCAGTTCCGAACCTCGGTGAACTCGTTCGTACTTTGTCCGTTCCGAAGTGCCCGTGCCATGACAAAAATGATGAGGACGATGACCTGGAGATCATTGCGGTCAACTTACCGGAGGCGCCGCAGCAGGTGCCGCAGCCGGTGCCGCATCTGGCAGGGCGACGTTTGGTGCCACCGGATCTGGCACAACTGGTGCCGCCTACAGGGGAAGGCTGGTGTGTTGTCATTCTCCAAAAGTTGCACTTACATGCACATATTATAATATATATAATATAATACATGTTTTTGTTATATTATGTTATATGGTTACTATTGTGACTATTAAATTGTTGCTATTATTACTCTATACTACTATCAGTGTATTTGTCTTGTTCTTCTTCTTCTTCTTCTGCTTCTTCTTTGCTGGCTTCGAGGGTTGGAGCACTGGGAGTCCAGAGAAGAAACAAGACCCAAGAATTCTTGACAGACCCAACCCATGTCAATACTGCAAAAGAAGACCAGAGCCTAGGAGCCTAGGAGCCTAGAACCCCAAAACTTCTACATGTTCGGCCAGTTTCATCCGCCCGATGTTCGGCTTGGCTGTGTGTTCCAAATGTGCCGAACACGGATCGATCTTTGGGAGGTGAATTGAAGCCGTCCTTACATCCGGAGCCGTGGCGACATTTGCACCGTGGGATGTAGGTGTGAAGTTTTCCGAGATTGGAACAAGCCAACTTGTGTTTGGTTGCGACGGAGTTTCTAGGTTTTTAGGTAGATATTATTCAAGAACATCCAGACAGCAGTCCTATTTTGTTCTATCAGTTTTGGATCTCTGAGCCGTGGATGATGGTCCAATCTTGATAAGGAAACAGTGTTCAAAAGAGGACAGCAACAAGACGGATGACTCATGAGGATTAGCAGCTAGCAAGTGCCGGCAAGTTGAGAAAGACCAGACTCATGACTCTGGTCTTTCTCAACTTGCCGGCACTTGCTAGCTGCTAATCCCAAATTCCAATTGAGGAGCCCGCGACGGACTTCTCCGATCTGGAGGATGATGACTTCGCCACACGTCTCCAGGACTTTGTGTGGGCTGCTGCGACCGATAGGGATGTGTTCTTTTCAGCGTATCTGGCAGAAAGATGTGGAAACCACAGACAGAGTGGCATATGGTGGCATGAAGAGTTTCAGGGTCTTCTCATGTTTTCTCTTTGATTCTGGTTGGTTGGTGAGTTGGGCTCTGGCAGTGGTAACGGCGAAGTGTGTTCCAAGATTCCTTTGGAACTGGTCTTCTCGAGGAAACATGCCGACACATCCATCACATCCATGGAAAACCCGTAGCATCGTTCAGTTGTCCCTCAATAGATCTCGATTTTTTGTTTTTGGCTTCCAGGTGGTTTTCTGGCTTTTTGCGGCTTCAGGTCGTGTCGCGACCCGACATTTCTATTAGTTTCCAACAAGATTGTAAAAAGGTGGTTGGACGTCATGGAGAAATCCCAGAATTGGTTCGATGGAATATCTGGAGGAAACCCATAGTACCATCCCTAACTCAAGATCCAAGACCTCATACAAAAATGCTACCCAATGAGTCAATGAAGGTCAAGAACCAGGTGTTGCTAGGTCTTTGGACCTGCAGGGGGACTCCAGAAATATTGAAGACTTTGAATTTGAGTGTGCGAGTATACTCAACACTTTTGTCACATCCTTCTTCCGGTGGCCATGGATCCAGAAGCGTGGAAGTTCAAGTCTGAGACACCACACAGAGCCCATCATCCCAATATTTATGGAAAACATCCTGATGAGAGGTGGGAACGCTGCATGCGGCATGACTTGCAAAACACCACTGGAAATAATGTGGTTTCATTCTAACATGGGATCCCAATCCTTGGACACGGAACCCACGCTCGGAAAAAGCTCGCAGCTCGCCCCCACGTGGAACCAGGACACGGTGAGGTGATGGTGAAGTGACGGCAGGCGCCGGTGGGTTGCCATGAGTGTGTTTGTGTGTGTGTGCGCGGGGTGTTTGCTCAGTAGGATCAGAATGTCCTGAAGGTTCCAGAAGCGAGAAATCCTTTCCCTGTAGAACCCTCCAAAGTTCGGTGAGCCTTCACAGTCACAGTCGAATATCTTCTCTCCAAAGCTTCTTGCACACTGAAAAGTGGTTCTGACACCTGGCACCGCAATGGATCTTTTATCTGGGTGCGGCTGATGCATAGATTCGTGTTGACGCCCGCTGAGCAACTAAGAACCACACACACAATCTGAGGCAGGTTCCCTTAGTGCCGTTGTTGCTCCAATGTACTATGCAGTCATGCATCTATGACAAACTGTGAATTACTGTTGTTGAGATTCATGCGTGGTGATTAATGACTTAGGCCGGATGCTCCACTGAATTGATTTGAGCTTTTAGCTGTTCAAGACATAGTGTGACTTGGATTAATCTTGGGGAAGTTTTGCAAGTAGATTTGATTGAAGCAAGTTGACTCAGACCTTGAACCAACCCCCCGCGGCGCCTACAGGCGACTGAGCTGAGCACAAGCTGAGCCGAATCGCCAGGACTCGCGAGGACTCGCGAGTGGTGAGTGGAGTCGCTGAGCGCAGGTGCAGGTGGAACTTGATCCCAACAGAGCCCGGGAACCCAAAGGAACCCAAAGACTCGAAGTCAATCCTGCTTCAACCATTCTTTGTTCTTATTGGACTTGTGGGGCGCTCGGACTCGAAGTCTCAAAGATCTTAGCACCAGACTGTGTAGACTGTGTAGACGGTCTCGGTTCCTACATAAAGGCTGGGTCACTACGGTCTCCACTACTGGCCTTCCTGAGACATGGAAGCACAGGGTGCCCGGAAGAACAATCCCTAAACTAAACTATGTAATCTAAATACGCATCCTCAAGCAGATAGAATATGTCATATAGAAGCTGCAACAATCCAAGACCCCCAAAAATGAAAGCCGAGATGTTTCTAGATGGTTTCATATTCTATCTACGCATCAAAGCTGGCTGCATCATGTATCACATGATGTCCCAATCTTCTCAATCTCTTTCAGTGCAAGTGATATGCAAGTATATGCAAGTTCTCAAGATCAATATCACTCTTGCACGGTTTTCACCTCTGCTCCTTCCCTCATCTCCGGTCCGTAACTCTGCTCTCTCGTTTCCACGATCCATCCACCAGCTGCCCCACGAAACGACGAAGTCCTCTGCGTGCTTCGCGCTCCGCGCTGAGCGCTCCACGGGCTCAGCGCGGGGAACCGCGCGGTTCCACGTCCGGGGAGGTTGGGCGTCTCCAGTCGTTCCCGAGAGGTTGGGCGTCTTCGTTGTTTTTTGTACCAGTGGTACCACCCAGAAGAACCTTCCCAAGAAAACACCAAATCAATTCAAGAAGTAACATTTGATCGTTTGGACTCGGCAGTCTTGCGAGTTTCTTCCGGCAGTCTTGCGAGTCGAAAACGAGTCTTGGGGCAACCAAGGGCTTCTGCCAAATCATGGACTTTCAATGTGGCAGAGTGGGACTGAACTCTGTTGCTGTATAGAGAATATACTGATAGAGTTTTGAGGCTTTACTGTGTATAATACTGTATACCCCTTGAAGGGCAGTGCCTTTGCCTTCGCTTACCTCCTCAGTTTAGCTGGTTCACCTAGAGTTTGTTTGTGGCTCAAGTGTAGGGTTTGCCCTCTATGTCCTTGGAAGGACTATATATACTTCAGAAAGAACACACGGACCACGGAAGGTTCCTTAGGGGGCTTAGTGTCAAGGATTTCCTTCTCAACAGGTGAGGATCGAGTCATTGCCCACAAGCTCTCTTCTTCTAAAGACTTGACCGCTGTTGACAGCTGTTTGTTGTATTGCTATCATCTCAAATCAAGCAGTTCTTGATTGAGCCAAATCACCTAGGTTTTCCTGTCCGTTCTTGAAACTTTTGAGCCTGGCACATGCGGGGGTTGTTTTGGTGTGTTTTACCTTCCTTGCCTTCTATACTCGTTTGACGGAGGACACACTCACCATAACAACATTGAACATGGACCTTGGGAAGACTACTCCAAGCCGAGTCCAAACCAGTGCTTATTGAAGTTCCAGTTGTTCTTCTTTTCTTAAATGATCTTAAATGTACATTGTGTTTATACCGATTTCCTCGATGTTTGCCGCGTGATTCGCTGCCTTTCCTGGACGACTGGAACGAATCAGTTTCGCCAATGATCCCAACTGATCCATCGATCGGGCCTCGCTCCTCGCTTCATGTGGAAAAGCCAGCGATCCGCCCTGAAACCCCGCGCGGGGGGAGGTGTAGTAGCAGTGGCCTGCCCTTTCAGACCGTTGGGTCTTTGGCAAATGGGTGGACCTGGTCCCTGGTCCAGTTAATACATGTCTACACTCACGTCCACATCTCTGAGGGCGCAGATGTTTATTCCACCCGGCACCTGGGTGCAAGGGCACGTTTAAGTTCAAGGCCTCAAAGTTGAAGGCGCCCTCCGCGCAAGTTCCAGGCATTTCCACCTAGAATCGAGAGGCCTGCCTTTGGCCAACGTAGCTTTGCATGAGCTTTGCATTGCAAAAGTGGGCCGGAAATCGCGCAGGAGCTGGGACTGTGCATGTTGTTTTGTTCGTGAACTGAGCCGGGCCCGGCCCGGCTCGGCTTAGTCTTGTTTGGGGGTCCTCCTTCGGTGGAAGAAGCCTTTGGACAATGGCGAACGCGACCCAATTGCAAGCGGGACCCCCTTCAAAAGGATTGTAGACATGAATCCAAAACTGAACTATACCTCCTGCTGTGATCCTTGATCCATCTCCGGGTATTCGCAGCATTCAAACTTCAATATAGCCTTTCCATCGGACCATCAGTACAACGGTACCCAATGGAAAGGTTGCCCAAGCCTACCTGAGGGTGAGTGAGCTGGACAGAAGGAAGAAGGTGAACCGGTAGACCCTTGATTTCGAGGGGCACTGATTGCATCAGATTCGTTCTTTCAGGCATTGCCTGTCGTGTTGCCCAAATTCCAGAGGGAAGAACCACATCATGTACAAGAAGCATGGAGACAGGCTGAGACAGGTAGTTTTGGAGGACCGGCTCCACTTTCCATGAAGAACAGGGCTTCCAAGCTCCACACACCACACGGTTCAGCGGCACCGAGTTCGGTCTTGCGAACGCGTTTGGTCCTGCTGAGGGTGGTTCGCCGGAAGCCTCAGAGGGTCGTGCCGCACATGGGAACAACAGCTGTAGACTTGTTGATGAATAACCCCCCAAATATAATCTAAAGGTTTTTAATCATCTAAATGGTGGGAGATTTATCAAAGCATTCTACATGTATACACATCTTATGAATCTTATACTTTTAGTCCATGTGGATTGAGGCGCACTGAGGCTGATAGGCTGTAGGTTGAACGAGGTGAGCTCAGCCCCAAACTCTATGGCCCCATGGTGAGCTGCATTTGCCCCCCAATTGCAGCCGTGACTTCGTCATCTTGTTCAAGATCAATTCGGTTGCTCCGTCATTTCGTCAATCTTCTTTACAGTCTTAACATCTCAACCTCGCTTTGCTTCGAGTAGTTACCGGGTAGTTTCTATTTCCTTCTGCTGGCGACACCCCTTTTGGGGGAAGGTTTTCGTTATGTAAAGCAAATCCAAGCAATTAGCTTGGAGGCCATCGCCATCGCCATTGGGTTCTTCAGGCCATCGCTCCTATAGGTTGGAGGCCATCGCTCCTATACGTACTCTTTCCCAAGGGCCAACAGCCCAACAGCCCAGGGCCAGATCCTCCAAACGAGGATCGCGAGGCCGGAGACGAAGAATGAGACGAAGATGGTCGGACCGGACGAAGGTTTTTCTAGAAGCCATTTCTGAGTTTCGGGCGTATTGTGGCCCTATTTGTTCATGTACTATTCTTTTTTTTGTTTTCTGTTTTCCTTTGGTGTTTTGGTTCCTTTTCCTTTTGCGAAAGCCTGGAAC